GCTTGAAGGAGAAATTTTTTACGATTTTCGCGCACAACAAAGAAGTCATCTTCATCATCTTCAAACGTACTAAATCTCAATTGTGTAAAACATCACTTGGGTGATACTGTTTTATTAGAAAACACTTTTTGTACACTCTCTTAAATATTGTTTATTGTATTTCTTTGAGAAAACCGGATTGTGGTTTAAACTCAAGAAGACTTTGACGATTGTCATAGTAGCTGTGTAATCAAGTTTAATTAGTGGATTAAGACCTCGTTGAGAGAGGCGAAATCACCTTGGCGGGTGGACTGGAGTAGTTTGAGTTCAAACGAACCAGGATAACCAACTTGTTCTTTTATTTAAGTTTTAAAAACCCTAATTCAAACCCCCCCTTCTTGTGTTTGTCCATTCTTTACCCTAGAGGTCTTACAATCTTCCTCAAGCATAATACGGTGCATGCAAATAGAAGGGCTTATTCCTTTTAAATCTGAGATGCTATACCCTAAAGCGGTTGGGTATTTTCTTAGGACATGTAATAATTTTTCAGTTTCTATTTGTCTTAGGTCTGTGTTGACTATAACTGGTCATTCAAGTTCCGTGTTTAGGAATTCATACCTTAGGTCTTTGGGTAGTGTTTTGAGTTCTATTGTTGACTTCTTTGGACAAGGCATAGGATCAGGAGTTAGAGCTAGACATTCACTCAGATTTTCATCTTGATATTCATGGCGCCAATTATCATCTTCAATAATTGGAGGTATATGAATCTTCAATACTTCTGAATATGTGGTTTGTTGTTTCTCCATTTATTTTACGCATTTATCGATTACATCTAAGAAGCAGCATGAATCGTCGATGGATGGTGCCTTAAAGAATTTAGACAAGATGAATTCAACTTTTTCTTCACCAACCTTGAAAGTTAATTTTCCCTTTTTAACATCTATGATGGCTCCTGCAGTGGCTAGGAATGGTCTATCTAATATAATAGGAATGTTGGAGTCTTCCTTAATGTCCATGATTATGAAATCATTGAGGATATATAATTATCCTATACATACAGGAACATTTTCTAACATGCCTAAAGGAAATTTCACCGATCGATCCGCTAATTGTACGGACATCCTTGTTGGTCTTAGTTCTCCCATATTGAGTTTCATGCAAATCGATAAGGGCATCTGACTAATACTGGCTCCTAAATAGCATAGTTCTTTGTCTATGACAAACTTTCCGATTACGCAGGGTATGGAAAAACTACCTGGGTCTTTCAGTTTAGGAGGCATGTTGTTTTCGATTATAGCACTGCATTCAGCAGTGAGCAATACAGTTTCATTATCCTTAAGCTTTTTCTTATTGGATAAGATTTCTTTAAGACCCCTACAAGAACTCAACCCAAACCAATTGGAAATCTTCAATTCTTCATCTAGATGAAACCCCGATGGAACATCATCACAATGTAATGTTGGTGTGTATGCATAGATTAGAATTGAAGAAGAGAAAAAGTAGGCTAATTTTATGGTATCATCGAGTTGTGAATGATGCATGAATGAGTATTTATAGTTGTGGGACAATTAGGGCAATAAGGGAAAATTTTGAATAAAAAAGAAATTAAAATATGACCGAATCAAACAGAATGTGTTGACCTCAAACTCGTATGTGTCGACATATTCTTTGTGTTTGGATCGTATGTGTCGACCTCAAATAATATCATGTGTCGACCTGAACAACTCAGAGGCTACAAGCTTAAATACACTATAGATGTGTGGACCTGAAAAATGGATGTGTCGACACATAAAAGAGAAATAAGGAAATTTCTTAACTTATCTTATGGGATTGAAATTTTTTTATGAAAAATTCAAAAATAAACTTTAACTTTTGAAAATGCATTTTCGATATACACTCTCACACATACTATTATTTCATTTTTGAAATACACTCCATTTTACGACAAAATTTATTTTGGAAATGTATTTTCAAAATAACATTTTCAATTCCTATATGAATATATTACTAATGTATTTCTGATTCCTATATAATACATTATCCAATATGATACAATATTTTTTTTTCTTTTGACAATTATGATACAATATATTACTAATGCTGTATGATACATTTCCCGTATGATACAATTTTCTCGATTAAACTTTTTTGGACTGGACAAAAATAAATTGGATAATATATCTTTGTAATAGTTTTTTAAAAATATTCCATACACGGTTCATTCAAACCAGCATCCTTCATGATTCTCAAGGAGGAAATCTGAACCTCGATAGGTAAAACAACTTCCATGCCGTATACCAAAGAAAAGGGGGTTGCCCCAATTGAAGTGCGTGCCGTGGTACGGTATCCGTGCAGAGCAAACGGAAACATCTCATGCCAGTCCTTGTAGGTGACTGTCATCTTTTGAATGATTTTCTTGATATTTTTGTTCACAGCTTCGACAACACCATTCATATTGGGCCGATAGGGAGATGAATTGTGATGTTGAATCTTGAACTGCTCGCACAGAGCGGTGATCATAATGTTGTTCAAATTTGTACCGTTGTCAATGATGATCCTGTCGGGGATACCATACCGACATATGAGGTTCTGCTTGATGAAGCGGGCAACCACATTCTTTGTAACGGAGGCGAAGGAAGCTGCTTCGACCCACTTGGTAAAGTAATCAATAGCCACCAGAATGAAACGGTGTCCATTGGATGCTGTAGGCTTGATCTATCCAATCATGTCGATTCCCCACATCGCGAATGGCCAAGGAGTTGTTAGGACATTGAGAGGAACCAGAGGAATATGTACTTTATCAGCATAGATTTGGCCTTTGTGACAAGTACGGGAATGTTGATGACAATCAGCTTCCATGGTAGACCAGTAGTAGCCAACCCGTAGAATCTTCTTAGCCATCGTATGACCACTTGAGTGGGTGCCAAAGGGGATATTATGTAGTTCAGCCATGATCTGCTCATCTTCAACCTTGTCTATACAACGGAGTAGGACACAATCAAGATTGCGCTTGTATAGGATACCATTGCTCAGAAAGAACTTGGCCGCGAACCTCCTTAAGAACTTTTTGTCGTTGACTGAAGCTCCCTCAGGGTATTCTTGTTCTTCGAGATACCTTTTGACGTCATGAAACCAAGGTCAGTCCACCACTTCTTCGATATTAATCTAGTGACAATGTGCAGGTTCGTCCATTCGTTCGATGGTGATTTGAGGTGCCTCATTATCCCAGTTAAGTTTAAACATGGAGGACATTGTAGCTAGCACATCTGCTAGCTGATTCTCTTCTCGCGGGAAGTGCTCGAAGGTAATCTGTTCGAAATGTGGTAACAATGTCAGGACATGTTCTTTGTAAGGGATGAGGTTTGGATGTTTAGTATCCCACTCTCCTTTGATTTGACTGATAACCAAAGCTGAGTCCTCAAATACAACCAAAGATTTGATTCCTAAGTCAATAGCGGCCTTGAGACCAAAGATACAAGCTTCATACTCGGCCATGTTGTTGGTGCAACTGAAGCAGAGTCTAGCAGTTAAAGGTGTATGACAATCTTCCGGAGAGATAAGTACCGCGCCGATACCGTTCCCAAGTGCGTTGGAGGCGCCATCAAAGTACAGAGTCCATCGGGATCCTTGTTCAGGTCTACCATACGGTCTGTTTTCTTCAATGTTGCTCAAAGTCATGATATCCTCGTCGGGAAAGTCGAACCTCATGGATTGGTAATCTTCGACAGCTTGATGAGCCAAATGATCGGCTAGCACACTCCCCTTTATAGCTTTTTGGGTTGTGTACTGTATATCATATTCGGTGAGGATTATCTGCCATCTAGCGATTCTTCCGGATAGAGTAGGCTTCTCGAAGATGTACTTGATTGGATCCATTTTAGAAATCAGTAAAGTGGTATGTGTCAACATATACTGCCTTAGCCAGCGAGCAGCCCATACCAAAGCGCAACAAGTTTTCTCGAGCAGTGAGTAGCGAGTCTCACAGTCGGTAAACTTTTTGCTAAGGTAATAATTTTTTAAAAATATTCCATACACGGTTTATATAGGCACCAAAAATTTATTTTCGATGTCATTTTAAAAATGCATTTCCAGAATAAATTAAATTGTAAAATAGAGTATATTTCAAAAACGAAATAATTATATATGTGGGAATGCATCCTAAAAATATATTTACGAAATCTGAGAATATTTTTAGAAATTTCCGCCGTGTGTTAGAAAATTATAAGATGCATTCCCAAAAATTCCCAAAAATAATCACTTGTGTGATCTAGAATCAATATGAAATATGCAAACAATTTTGAATCCAATTCTTCCTTTTTTTTTTCTCCCTCTTATGTGTGGTGAATAGTTAGTGGATACTCATACTAAATATTGAAGTAATATTGAACTTAATAACCAAGAAAATGCAATGAAACCATTTGAAAAATAAAAATGACAAGGAAGTAATAAGATAACATGGGCCTGTATGCTAAGACTGACAGAAAGAGGTCCCCAAGCAGTTGGGATGGAGAGGAGATATAAATGCACACATTTCCCTTAACAACCCTATGGGGACATATGCATAAAGGACAGTATGGACTATGGAGTATCTCTCCCATTCTTATTTCATCTATTTGTCTCCCTCATAATACAGTATCCCTATTTAATAACATCCTTATAGCCTAATACCTTTTCCAAACTCTTTTCCTCTTCAACTCCCAACACCAACTGACAAAATATTCTCTTATGTATCATTGTATCAACCTAACCTAATCTCTCTTTCATGGCTACCCTTTTCTCTCTCTCCTCCATCACTTGTCACACACCTCACAAGAAACTAAATAATTAATTTCTATTATTATTTTTTCTATCCTCACTTTAAATAAGAGCTTCTTCCTACATCTATATAGTATATCAACCTAGCTAGATAGAATCTAGGTTGCATTTGTTTCCTCTTCCTCAACCACACACACTCTCTCTAGGTTCTAATACTAAACAACATAATATATTTCTGACACACCTACACCTACACTTCCTTAACAATGTCTACCAGAAGATCTCGTTCGAGACAATCTGGTGTTTCCACTGAGATCTCTGATGATCAAATTAATGATCTCATCACCAAGTTGCAACAACTTATCCCTGAACTTGCAAGGCGTTCCAACAAGGTATATTCATTTTCTTTTTCTTTTTAATTAATATTCTCTCACACATGTGTGCTTGGTTTCATAGTATTGAAACAACTAAAGTTAATTTGAACATTTTTGAACTATGGTATTTCTAATAAATGAATTTATAGTTTTCAAAATTGTAATATAGTCATTTTAATTCTAAAAATTAAAATTTAAAATGTTATTTAATATAATTTTATGTATAAATTTATACATAACATTTTCAAGAACTATATAAAATATTGAAATAGATTTTAAAACATTTTTGTTTTAGAGAGTAAAATAATGATATATATTGCAATATTACAGTTAAAGACTTAATTAAATTTTTTTATTTTATTTTAGTTCATTCATACAAAGATATGCCGTTTATGAAATATATAAATCATCATATAAAATGTCATTAAAAAAAAGGAAGACATCATCAATTTTGAGTATAAAAAATAAAAAATAAATCAAAATTATTTGGTATTGAAATAAATAGATTAATTACGTAAATAAAATAAAATAAAAACAAAACTATAATTAAATAAGATCAAAATCTAAAATCCATTTGAAATATTTTTTGTGACAGCATTTAACTTAATAATATAAATGTGTTAGATTTTAAAATAAATAATAATAAATATAAGTTATTCTATACCTAATATAAAGTTTATGATTTTGACAAGAAGTAATGTAATTAAAGTATCTTAAATTTGTTGTGTTCCTAGAAAAGGTGTTTAAACAAGAATTAACTAATACTACAAGGGAGTCACATGCATGCACATGACACACACTACACACATATTTTATGTGGCTTTGGTTGTCTTTGCTAGATAAGTCATCAAGCTTGTGCCCTTAACCCACAAACTTGTAGGGCTGTGGGACTAGAACATTCCCACTTGCCATGGATATATCATTGTCGAGTAAATAGCCCTAGCAACTCAAAATGTGTGGATGTTAAATAACTCCAACAGCATTAATTGGTTTATGTTTTGTTTTTGTGTTTGTAATATAGGTTTCAGCTGCTAAAGTATTGCAAGAGACTTGCAATTACATCAAAAACTTGCATAGAGAGGTTGGTGATTTAAGTGACCGATTATCACAACTTTTGGACACTATAGACCCTAACACTCCTCAAGCAGCTATCATTAGGAGCTTACTTATGTGATTTATATGTCTAATAAATTAGTGTTTGTGTTGAGCACATGTCTTTTAAAATGTCTCACTAGCTATAGCTTGCACTTTATAATTACATTGTCAATCTTTCGACATTTTGTAACAACTATCATTATATAACTATTTTTAATATAATGAATTAATTCCTAAATTAATATGAGGAGTTGTATTCAAGGTTTTAAAAAACTGTTGCTGTCGCGTCATAATCGCGTAAAGATTTTTGTGATTCTGATTAATATAAATGTATTGTGATCATCACAGTGTAAATTATTCATAATTTATTTTTAATATAAAAAATAATGATAACAGTATCGGTATTGATATTTGTCAAAACTATTTTATTGCAATCGTTTTTATAGTCGTAGAAAGTTTTTTAAAACCCTAATTACATTGATAAATATATGATTATATATGTATATCCCTAGCCCTACCTATGGTTTTCTATGATGCTATTCCCATGAATGTGTCAAAATATGTACTATTTTGGAGATGCAACGTGTTAGTGTTTGATCTTAGTATTTTATATCTTAATAGAGAAACTAAGTACTTTGTGTGGACCAACTAAAGGGACAAATTTGAACCTGATGTATAGCATGTGACATTGCCCCCACACCATTTTCGGTTTACTTATTCTTTGCCAAATGCCAACCCGTGATACTTGTGTTGGACCACTGTTTACAAACCCTAGTGTATTTATTTTCTATATCTAACTAACATTTGCACCAATAATATAAACGGGATAGTAATGATAAGATATGTATACCTTACTGTTTAAAAGATATTGAAATTTTACTATCTTGACTTTTTCTTAAAATTTGTCTATTAGACAAAGCCATTCAATAAGTGTATATTTTATTCAGAAATACCATAGTTGACAAAATTTGATTATGGGGAAGGTTCGTCGTGGGCCTCTAATTTTGAACCAAGTTATTATTGATTTAAAACATTTAAAGGAAAAGCAAAAATAGTTAATTCAAGTAATGAGTTAAAACGTTCTCAAGTATCCTAACTAATTATAGGATTGGAACGTTTTCGGTTTAATAATTATTGGTTACTTCAATGTAGTTTCTTTGAAGTTGTTCTTTTTTTTGTTAGTCTAGTGCTTCACTAATTAAGATCGGAAGACTTTTATTTTATTAGAAAATTCAAAACTCTCAAATTGATATTGAAAGATTCCAATAAAAATGTGTTTGAAAGCTTAGACATTTGAATTATTGATTTTTAAAGGAGACTATTAGGAAGTTAGATGTTCTGGCTGATCAGAGAGTTTTATCTGAGAAGGATATCCAGGATTACTCTAGTAAATTTGTAGAACTCTGGTCTTTTTTGAGGACTAAAGACTCTCAAATATTCCAAAGATCTAAATCTAAGTGGCTTAAGGAAAGCGATTCTAACCATGATTTCTTTCATGCTTCAGTCAAGAGTAGTAGTAGGAGAAATACTATTCTTACCTTGAAGGTAGGTGAAGTTTGGTTGCAAGGGATGTTTAAGATTCAACGAGAGGTGTTTAATTATTTTTCTAATATTTCTAAGGAGTCAAATCTTGATAAGCCTCGCTTGGATGTGATTGTTTTCCACTCTCTCTGCTGAGGATAACCTTTCCTTAACCTCTTCTTTTACTCTTCAGGAGTTAGACAGTGTGATTGCATTGTACAACGGTAATAAGAGTCCTGACCCAATGGTTTTTCTTTCTCCTTTTTAGAAGGTTCTAAAATTTGTTTAAGGAAGATTTTCATGTTATGTTTGACTAGATTCATTAGTTTGCTACGTTACCACGTAGCTTTGCTTCTTACTTTGTCACCCTAATTCATAAGGTTATTTCTCATAGTCAGTTAATTGACTTTAGACCTATTTTCTTGGCTTGTTTTTTATACAAGTTATTGGCTAAAGTACTAGCTGCTAGACTAGGGGAGATCGTGGAAAAGTTTGTTTCCCCTAATCAATCTTCCTTTCTAAAAGGTAGAATATTGGTGGATGGTATGGTGGTTGTAAATGAAATGATTAACATGGCTAAGAAAGCTAGAAAGTCTTATCTCATTTTTAAAGTGAATTTTGAGAAGGCTTATAACTCTGTGAGTTAGGAGTTTCTAGGGTTTATGTTGGTCAGATTTGGTTAAGTGGGGATCTTGGATCAGATCCTGTGTTTTTGTTGGGATTCTCGTGGTGTGGGTCAATGGCTTCCCAACTCAAGAAAATCAATATTCAAAGGGGTCTGAAGCAAGAGGACCCCCTAGCCCCATTTTCTTTTCCTACTGGTGGGTGAAGGATTAATTGGCTTGATTAGTAGGACTGTTGAGTTGGGTCTTCTCACTAGTTTCAGGATATGAGCCTTTGATATGGTGGTATATTATCTTCAATATATTGATGATACTCTTATCTTATTAGACCTATTTATTGAGAACCTATGGATTATAAAGGAAATCCTTAGGGGTTTTGAGTTAGTTTATGGCCTCTAGGTGAAATTTTCAATAGTAGTATGATACATGTTAACGTAGATTCTTAGCTTTTGGATTCTGCTGGTGACTTTCTTCATTGTAGACTTGAGACCATTTCTTTCAAATATCAAAGGTTACCTGTAGGGGAGATACCCAATAGAGGAGTTACTTGGGAGTTCCTCGTTAAATTTTTATCCTAAAGGCACAACTCTTGGAAGCATATGTATATTAGTTTGGGGGTAAGGTCCTTTTGCTTAATTATATGCTTAATGACCTCTCTATTTTATTCTTGTCTTACCTGGAAATGCTTGTAAAGTTTTAGAGGAAAATAATTCACATTCAAATAAAAGATTTATGTGGGGAGACATTAAGGAAATTCTAAAATCTCTTGGTTCAGTTGGGATGATGTGTATAAGCCTAAAAGTAAAGATGGTATGTGGGTTAGAGATATAAGCATGGTCAATTGAGATCTTCTAGCTAAGTAGACGTGGCGTCTAATCTCTGGTGACTATGGCCTTTGGAGAGATATCCTTGTTGCTCGTTATAGTGCGTCTATTGTCTCCCCTTTTAGGTGTAGGAGACACTATGCCAAACAAGGGATTAGACATCGCTTTTTTAGGCCTTTAACAGCGCTTAAAAGCGTTGCTAAAACCTCTGCTACTAAAGGTATAGACAGCGTTTATGTAATTTCAAAAGCGCTGCTATAGGTACCCCCTTTAGCAGCGCTTACACTTTAGACAGCGCTTTTAATGTGGAACTTTAGACAGCGCTTGGTAAAAGCGCTGTCTATTCCCCCCCTTTAGCAGCACTTTTCCTTATTATTTTTTAATATTTTTTTTCAATCACTTTAGACAGCACTTTCATTAAAAGCGCTGTCTATTCCCCCCCCCCCCCCCCCCTTTAGCAGCACTTTTCCTTATTATTTTGTTAATATAATTTTTTTCTAACACTTTAGACATCGCTTCTCATTAAAAGCGCTGTCTATTCCCCCCCTTTAGCAGCGATTTTCCTTATTACTTTTTTAAATATAATTTTTTTTTCATTTAAAACAAAACGCTGCCTATCAAATTTAATCTCACCATTTTTGCACCAGAATTTATAGCTTCATTATAACATTTTAAACAACAACAACATCAATATACCACAATGAAACAATATTATAACAACATCAATATTCATCTCTTCAATCCTTTTTTCACAATATACACAACAACAACATTAGTATATACAACAATGAAACAAAATCAACAATGAATTACAAAATAACTCTATCTTCTACATCGAGCTGCACCTATATAACCTAAAACAAAATCAAAAAATCAAAATTCATACAAGTTACCAAATAACAACAACAAAAACAATAATATTGTAACACAACTATAACGACATATATTATATTCTCAAAACTCAAAGTTATACCTTATAATAAAACTCTCAACTCCATAACAAATTGGCACCAATCCTCCATAAGTTCATCCAATTGATCTTTTGAGTATGAAGCACACTTGAATTCATCAAAGTACTACATAATAATATAATATAGTATGATTTAATTAAAATACTAAGTCATTTTATGAGAAATATTAAAATAATTCCTAAGTTAGAAATTCATACCGTGGATGGAATCTCTAATCGGTCCAAAAGAATAGTTTCTTTCATAAACCTCAACACAAAATAACCGCAATCTACACCATTGCGCTGACGAGGACACTACACATGGAAAGAAAATACGGATATACATCAAGATATACACCTTAACTTGTTTTATCAAGTATCATCGCTATATAATCAAAATTGTGAAAATCTATACCTCCACTTTGATCCAAGAAATATTGTTGACTCTACTCCTTGGTACTTGAATATCTCTTTGTGCTCGAAAACTTTGTAGAATTCTATAATAAAATAATAACGAATATTTAGAACTATCGCACATAAATAATTAAATATACACAGTAATATTTTTGAACAATCTCACTTACGTGTCAATCGTCTTCTTCATATCTGGGTATGTTGTCCAATCATTGCCCAATGAATCCAGATAATATATAATTTCTCTCACAGGATTAATTGAAACCAATAACCAGTGTCCACTGGAATATTAAACAAAGGTTAGATGGAAATTTTCTGCATAACATTAAAAAACGAAAAATTATAATAGAGGAAATTTAGAATGAAAATCTTACTTGGGGCCAGTATTATATGGTAAAAAGAACAATTTTTCTGTATCTTTGTTGTGTCTCTTTCACAAGATGAACAACAAGATGTACCATAATGTCAAAAAATGATGGAGGAAAATACATTTCAAGTTCACAGAGAGTAATAACGATTTCTTTTTGTAATACTGGTAAGATCTCAGGATCGATCACCTTACTACAAATTGACCTGGAAAAAAAACATAATTTATTTATAGCGCTTCTTACTTTTTCTGGCAAAATAGAACGTATACCTATTGGTAGAAAATGTTCCATTATGACATGGCAATCATGTGTCTTCAGACTCTTTAACTTGAGGTCTTTCATGGACACAAGTCTTCTAATGTCTGAGGAGTAACCTTCTG